GCTCACGCCTCGTAGCAGCCCTTGTAACGACCGTGCTCCAGACCCATCATTGCTCTTATGGGAAGCTTGAATATTACACAACGATTGTTAGAACGACTGTCACCGATTTACTCGCATATATTGCATGAATGCTGTTTTGTGGTATTTTAAAACATGACATTAATAATTAGGTAGCAAGTAGGTAGTATTTCAATAAACGTTGTTTTTGTAAACTAGGCCTTTGTAAAATGTAAAGTAATAGGGAGAATTTCCAAAGAAGGATTTATCCCCATCCACTCAATCGTGAATAAATAAGTGCTCACCCTTAGTAGACTTGGCAAAGGGTCTCATGCGATTCTGTGTAATGTGTTATCTTATCTTGCACAATAGTCGCGTTTTCACATAAACAGGACGATTTAGTGCGGCGCTTATACAGATGTGTATGTCGCGCTGTCGACTCGTGCAAATAAAACTAGTAAGGCGATGATAAAAGTTTGCGAAGCTCTGCCTTATTTACTAGTGGCGGCGGCTGTCCCGTTCACGACTTGAGATCAATACGGAGTCAGTCTCCACCCTCGTCCCAAGCAAGCCTATTAAGCAGTTAGGTAGTTCCGTCTCGCTCTTGCCGATATAAAATATAGAAAGTAACAGAATTACTTAACTCATAATGTATTCCGATCGCTATATTTGTACATCAGGTATGTATGCTCGTGGTAGATATAATTTTAAGTAGGTCTGCGCGACGAGTAGGCCTCGCAGACGGAGTGGCGTCGAGATAATGGCTGGCTCCGGATATAAACGTCACGTGACCTATATTCTAGCTGTAGGTATATAGGCCAGTATGAACTTTCGCCCGCCGCCGACCCATTACCAGTACAAGATAATACTTTGTTCTTATTCGGTGGAACGGTTTTGTGTTCGGTCGCACTCCCAACATACTTTTATCTTAATAAAAATATAATTGTATTTGTTGTCTATACTTGCATATATCTACATATTACTTTACAAGAACCTGTAATAGGTTGCCATGTAAGCTATTAAGGGTATATTGGAGAAAGATGCAAGCCATATGTTACATATGCGATCACAATGAAATTCGTTTTAATCGTAGTCTTTTGCCCAATATCCTTTTGTGTTCCGAGCAAAAATGAATTTAATATAAGAAGGGTTTGTCTTGCAATGAAAACCGCAGACCGGTTTGATAGATGATTGAGAAGGGTCTATGTCCCTCAATGGACTTTTAACCGTCTGTTGTCAAATAGCGAGATTCTTGCTTCCAAAACGATTGAGATAAAAGAAGGTCTCGTAAATCTTTTATTTTTTTTCTCTGCACTTACATAACAGAAGCTCACGTCCAACATATCACATAAAATCATGTTTACGATTCCCGCATCGGGACCCGCAGCAATATTTCAATAATAATAATAATATTGTTATGTATGGAATTTCAGGCCTGCGTCAAAATATATATGGTAATTTCAAGTAAATTGGTGACGAATATTCGTTCTAATAATTTGTAAGTAAACCAGCCTTGGTTTGGCTTAGTGTGAATTATTTTGAATATTTGAGGCTAACTTTCGTAGTGCGCGTGATAGCGTGACGATTTTATTAGAGTTATTTAATCAGAAAATTGAACAGACTACATAATTTCGCCCATGCGTGGTCGAGGCATCGCGGCCTCGGCCTAGAGCAGAAGAAGGAAATTTTAAGTCATTAAGTCAGTAAGGGTCTGACACTTCCTCCCGCCTCACCCTGGGCGGGAGAAGTAATCTGATGATTTTCTCCTAGCGACAAAAGCCCATGTTGTATTGTTATCAGTAGAAGTCGCATATGTTCCGATGTATTGCCAATGTTATGTACACTACTATTGTAACTTGCATCATTTTTGTGTATTTACACTTTATAAAGAATAAAATTTGAAATCTATAAAATAACACTATGATAATAAGACAAATCGTCGAACGATACGTTTATGACATGCATATTCGTGTATGATAATTTACCACCTATGTTTAGCAAGAAAACACGATTAAGCTCCATTGCTGTAAAATTTTAATAAAACTGCTATTGTAATAAAAAAAACATATTGTTGGCAAAAATAAATAGGAATAAATAAACACTAGCTGGTTACTTCAATAGAGGTATTCCTTTTCTCGGCTTTCGGTCGACGCCGTCTTAGTTTGGTACGTCTGAAAAAATTAAATGAAGTTAGGAGTAGGACGATTTTCTTTCAAACTTTTATAAGATTTGACTGTTTACTTGTTAATATATAGGTAAAGTTTTCCTAATTTTATATTAAAACCTTATCGGGTCTTCTTTGATTTGGTTACAAATATCAATAAAGAAATAATAAAAGCACCTATGTTGATATTAAAAGTTTTGTAGAATAGGAAGAGGTTTCAGCATAACGTGTAAAACATAGGTTTTCACGCTCAACCAGTTTATTAGGTGAAAGAAAGCATATTTAGTACTGCAGCGTCATTACAAATGACTCCAGTATTCGAGTAGAAACGGGCGAAGTAAAAGCGCTAAAACCTTGCAATCATTCTGAGAACGCAGCCAAGTAACGTTATTACGTGAACCTTAAACTAGGTTACCTATTTTTCCTCTTACAATTTGTACGGAAATAAAGGAAGCAGAAACATTTTCCTGAAATAGCTACACTTTTATAAATTCTTTTAAGCTTTATGTCGAGTTTTATTTAAGAGAAGTTTGCAACGCAAACATACAGTTTTCATGGCATTTGATTTTATTATTATTAATTACCGTGTCAAAAATACATATGGATTGTTTATTTTGTGCTGAATAGAAATAAGAATTATATTTGCGTGTTCACATTATCAACTGTTGTATGTATTTGCGACGTGTAAAGTGTAAAGTGATTCACCCCTGCAAGAAACAACAGGAGCGATGTTTTTATGAAAGTCGGTCATTGAAAAGTTAAAAATAGAGCAAATATTGATCGTCACACCGTCTAACATCGATTACCATAATTTTTATATGACTGTTTTGTAAGCTAGAATGCAAACAAAGGGTAGACAAATAATAGCTGCGCCGAGGACGTTACCGTGATGTCTATTATTAGATTAGGGTCGGTCAGAAGGCTTGATAAGCTCGGGTCGCGGGCGCGCCACGCGACCAAGTAATCGATTGCTGGCCACCCACCGACTCTCAATGCTCTCGAGCAAATATATACCTAGCCGACTTCTATTTATTTTACTTCGGTAGTTTTATGACGAGTTCGATTGAATAGGAAATTAGGATCTCCACTTGTTTATCCTACGCTCGCTCCCGTGATGTGACCCGTGATCATTTTTGTTTTCGTTGCCCTAACTTAGGGTTCGGCTTCAAGTGAGGTTCACATTGAGGTATTTTTGTATGAGATTTATTTGGTCTTTGTTTGATATTGTTTCTGCAATACTTGCCCGTGGAGTATATTTTATAATGAGATTATAAGGCGAGGTTACGTGACAGGTTTTTATAAACTTGTTGAGCTTTTGCAGTCAGGTAATCTCAAGTGTGGAAGTGAATGAATGGAAATTCAGTCACAAGCATTATTTAAATAAACCGTGTTGTTCAGATGAAAACAAACAAATAGCAATTATGGTGTGTGTAACATTTGTCTCGTAACGTTGAAATATACATGTAACAATCGATGATTGAATTGTATAATATTGTGTTGTACTCGTATAAGGTTGACGTGGTATTTCGAGGAGTAGCCGTGGTAAAGTTACACGGATCGATGCGGCCGGACTGCCACCAATCTATTATTTAATGACATCGCCTTTGTTGAGTGCTTTTACCTTTTACACAGTCGTTCGTGCCTCGGGTCTTACTGTGAGTTGACAGTTTTATAAGTTCGTTGTACGTTTTTCAAACAATTTGGATATTTACTTATAAAATCGTTAACACGAACGTCTACGGTTGGAGTGGAATATTAAAATTGAAATATTAAGTGTTTTTTTTTCGTGAAAAGATTTATTGAAGGCAATGTCATCAACCCTTATTTTAGCTAGAAGAAAGAATAGAAAAATAATTGCTGGAAAAATGTGATAACATCGTTTATAAATTTTCATTCTCACTCGCTCACTCAACTACTAAGAATTATTTCGAAGTAAATGTTGTATGAACAACCAATACTATGTTAGCTTACTTTATGTCATGTTTGGTATGTTACATATAGATTTATGTTTAGTGCAGGCTAACTACATACTATTAACGTTAAATCATATGTTAATAAAATACTTTAGTTTAAACATTAACCGTACGTAGCCCCGTAGGACCTCTACGCATTCTACGATTTCGTAGCGGTCGTAGCCAACTACGACGTAGGCCGCTACGACATTTTAATAGTAATAGGCTACGTTATTTTTTACCTTACAGTAATTACATTGTTGAGAAGTTATTATTTATTAATTCACTTTGGTTTCAGAATATTTAAGTTACTTTTTATGTTCAACTGTCTGACATAAATGTCACACAATTATTATGTTTGTGACTTGTGTCGCAATGAGTGCATTAAGACCTTTAGCGCTTTAGCGTTGTTTTTCGGAATTATGATTATTTTATATAAACCAGATCACGATTATTTTAGATATACCAGTACCTAGTTACTTACTTGCTGTCGAAAACTAGTCAATCACCAACCTATGTGTGTAATTTCAATACTTGAGTTAGTTCTGTGAAAAATTCTTTGAAAAGTTTTTGTGTATGAATAGTAGTATATTAATAACTGGCATATGGCAATGATATCACTACATAGTATAAACCGAAGGCGCTTTCGCTGTCCTTATATCCCTTTTATACTTAAATCTTTGATTATACACAACGGATTTTGATACCATTTTTAATAGATGGAGTGATTGAGAGAATTTTTATGATGTATAATAACATCGACTGCAACTAATGGAAAAATTTTGTATCAGGATTGCACCCGTGCGAAGCCGGGGCGGGTCGCTAGGTATTTATAAACTTTATGACTATTGCACTGTTGACTAACAGGAAATACTGATTGTTCTCAGATTCGTGGAGTACGCGTGCGCTCTGCCTGGAGCTGATGAGGCGACGGCGCTTGGCGCCATGAGCTAGCGGGAATGGGGGGCGAGGGGGCGGGCCGCGGCGCCGCGCGCTGGCACGTGGGCGACTCGCCCCCGCGCGCGCCCATGGGCTTCGCGGCGCCCGCGCAAGATGCGCCGCTCGACCGCGGGCTGGCGCCGGCGCCCGCGCCCGCGCCCGCCGGCAATGCCGTGCTCCAGCGGACGCACTCCAGGTACTTTTGTTCTACTTGAGTTTATGTAGTAAAATATTCAAGTTTCACGGTTCTTTGTACAAAATATTAACAGTTGCTCAAAAATTACAGTCGTCTATAGTCACTTTACAACCGGTGTCACTAGTAGTGATCACTATCTGTAAATAAAATGAATGTCACATAATTCATTTTACAGCTTTCTACGTAAACTGATCGTAAGGTGGTTTAACTTCTGAACTTAGAGTTGACATATAGGAGTTTTAATATTGGTCCATAATGTTGACAACGATCATTACGTTTACGTCGAAATGCGCTCATTCTTTTTTACTTGAGTAGTAACCAGAACTCTGCTCTATTCAAAAATCTTCAACTGGCTAGTTGTTAGTATAACTCCAACCCCTTCGTACGTTCCCCTCCGATTGATTTTCCGGACGTATTCAGGGAATTCCGTCTGAATGGCAACCCCTGTTATGAGTGTCCGTAACTATTCATAGGCTCGGCAGTTTGCTGTTTGAATAAATATTTTTTTGTATTTTTATGAAATTGATCAACAAAGGCTTTCTTTGATTGTGAATGAAAGTTATATCATTTGGAAAATTCTTTAATTGGGCATTGAAACCATACACGACTGACGGGTTCAAATTGGGAGGATTAGAGTTAATTTCAGATAATTATGTTCCAATCGCCAAATTATCTTTTCTGAAAATTGTTTCTGTCAATCCAGGTTTTACGTCCGGATTTCAGGATTTCTTATATCAAGATTTGTTTGAACTTTGACAGCGTTGTTAATGCTCCATGTGTGACTACTTTCAGGTCGATGTCGTCCCTACCGCCGGAGCCGTTTATGATGCTCCGCGCGAAGGCGCTGAGCAAGCGAGTGATCATCAACGTGGGCGGGGTGCGGCACGAGGTGCTGTGGCGAACACTCGAGCGGCTGCCGCATACGAGGCTCGGCCGCCTCAGGGACTGCAACACTCACGAAGCCATCACTGAACTTTGCGACGACTACTCCTTACAAGACAACGAGTACTTCTTCGATAGGTGTGTTTTATACAGCATTTACCAACCTTTTTTATTTGTTATTTTACTGTCCAAACAATAACTACCAAGTAAGTGACTTTTGCGTGATTTTTCCAGGCACCCGAAAAGCTTCAGTTCCATACTCAATTTTTATCGAACTGGGAAGTTGCATTTAGTTGATGAAATGTGTGTGTTGGCGTTTAGCGACGATCTCGAGTATTGGGGTGTGGACGAATTGTACCTGGAGTCGTGTTGTCAGCATAAGTACCACCAGCGCAAGGAGCACGTGCACGAGGAGATGAGGAAGGAAGCCGAGAGCTTGCGGCAGCGGGAAGAGGAGGAGTTCGGTCAGGGCACTTGTGCTCAGTACCAGAAATGGCTTTGGGACCTGCTCGAGAAGCCGACCACCAGTATCGCAGCCAGGGTAACGTATCGCGACGCAGTCGACCAAAACAGTAACAAGTTACCAATATTATTAACCCTGCGACTCTAGCAACGCTGCCGAGGATAGTGTAGACTAAGGGAGAGGTATCCAAGGATTTCCACTGTTTATTTTATTTCTTAAATTTATAATAGTTTACTTTTAGATAGATGCTTTTGTGACTTGTGAGTTTTGAGTAAAGCTCTTGAGATGTCCATGTGCGCAAGATTTGTTCTGTCACTCGTAGATAAATGCCGATGTAGTTTTTGTACCAACTTTAATACATTACATTAAGGGCACAAGTTCAATGGTATTGTTAGGTACACTAAGCACTGTGAGCACTCAGTACCTACTGTATACTGTACATCCATGAACATAAACATTATGTGAAGTAATGTCCACCTTCATTCCACTATTGTAAAACACCCTCACACTTACAAATACATATATGAAATACGTAACTGATATACAACTATCTACATATTTATTGTAAATGAAAGTTTGTTTCGTTGTGGACATTTCACATTGCTGCACACAGTTGAGGGATTCGACACTATGTAATACTAGGCTCACAATGAATACCTATGAGAACAAGCTTGGTATAACTGTGTATTATAGGTACTACCTACTTATTTACTTACTTATATGTTGTGTTGTGGTGCATGAATAACATCTATCGCTGGCTCCTTCTTCAGTGTCGCAAGTCAGTTTGTGTCGTCGGTATTGGAATGTGGTGTTGTGTTCCACTTGTATGTTGTGTTGTGACGTGACGTAACATTATTTTGATCGCTTTTGTCGAATCGATATTGTGCTGTGTACTGTTCTGTTTTCTTTGAGCACCTTTCAGCTTACTCCGTAGCGTATATTTTCTTATTATTATTTCGACAACAGCGGTGCAACCTTATGTGTATGTAAGTACCATTCAGTGTAAATAATCCTTTATTTTGATTTATATATAACGTATATAGTATTTTTATATATATTCAAATATTAAGAACTTTTAATACCTTTATTTCTTATTTATTACACACGAAAGTTTATTATTAATAATAAAATAACGGTTAATAGTACTATTTAATATTCTCCATATATATGATTTCTTATAAATTTATTGTATTTAATTATTGTATTTATGCGTTTGTAAACTGTTTTATTGTAAATTACGTATAAGACACAGTATTCTACAACACAAGATTGTACAGAAACTTAGTATGTGTTGTAACAGACATTAACAATGTGTTAATACTGACTGTTATTGGTTCTGATTGTGTTGTGGTGTACCAACACAGGGCACCGTGCGTTGTATTGCGCATAGTGGTTAATTAACGATTTGAAAAGGAGTTTTATCCATAAAACTTAAATTTCTTTTCATCAAACTTGGTTACTACCTACAGTGAGTAAAAATGAACGCTTTACATCTGTAAAGATGTAAACTTACTCCTATTCAAAACTGTAATAAGCTGCAAAAAGATTATCCGCTTATTATCAAATGTTTTAATTCACGTCTTCTGGATTGTAAATAATACTTTACTATAGTAAATTTTTATAAATGTTCACAGCCGCGTCGATAGTTCTCGATATGGAGAACTTTTTAAAAACAAAGCTTAATTGTTGTCGCAAAATTGCAAAGATGGGATGGGCTTACGCGATGTGACCAGCCGCCGCAGGGGCGGCGCACAGCGGCCGGCGTGCGGGGTGGCACGGGACAGCGCGGGCGCCCGCCGGACCGGCGTCCGACGTGCGCCTCGCTGCGCCCGCGCCGCCTCCCACCACGGCAAGGCGCCGCCCGCCGGCGTCCCCACCCTCCCCCGCCTGTCCGGTCCCAGATCCCGCTCGACTCCCGCTCCGAAACCTCCTCCACCAGCGCTTCCGCTTCGTGATACTGATCCGACTAACCGAGCGATGCGGGCGATGGACGGACGAGCGTCTGCTTCGTTCCACCTCCTGCTCTAGGCGTACTACGTATATCAGTTCAAACTCGGACGCGCGTCCGTTCACCCACACTTTTTAATATAAATTACTTATCTACACCAAACCACACAACACTACTAACATAGTCACACGTATAGATGTTATTTCTACACCAAAATTTAAGAATACCTACTATTATAAGACATTTGTTACATACATTATTGGCCTTTACCGTTTGTCTGTAAATACTTACATATACCTACCTACTACCGTATCATACGAATGTTTACCTAAGTAGTATCGATGTACAAACGTGTAGGGAGAGTAGTTCTGTATAAACACTGGCATATCGCCGACGGATCTGACACATGTGGCATAAGTAGGTGCGAGTAGCGAGGTGTAGTTGCGCAGTGGCAGCGCAGTGGCGACGAGCGCGGGCCTTCTGTCGCTCGCCGCTCACTGGTGCGTGCTTGCAGGTGATCGCGGTCATCTCGATCCTCTTCATCGTGCTGTCCACGATAGGGCTCACTCTCAACACGATACCCCAGATGCAAGTGTACGACGACAAGGGCGCGCCCATGGATAACCCACAGCTGGCCATGGTCGAGGCGGTGTGCATCACCTGGTTCACGCTCGAGTACGTGCTGCGGTTCAGTGCTTCGCCGGATAAATGGAAGTTCTTCAAAGGTGGACTAAATGTGATAGACTTGCTGGCTATATTGCCTTATTTTGTATCTCTCTTCCTGCTCGAAACCAATAAGAACGCCACTGACCAGTTTCAAGACGTGCGCCGTGTTGTGCAAATTTTTCGTATCATGCGAATATTGCGCATCCTTAAACTCGCCCGACACTCGACCGGCCTACAGTCGCTCGGGTTCACGCTCAGAAACTCCTATAAGGAGCTTGGATTGCTCATGTTGTTCCTTGCGATGGGAGTACTCATATTCTCCTCATTGGCATATTTCGCTGAGAAAGAAGAGCCGGGAACTAAATTTATTTCCATTCCGGAAACGTTTTGGTGGGCCGGCATCACCATGACCACAGTCGGATACGGTGACATTTACCCCACGACCCCGTTGGGCAAGGTCATCGGCTCAGTTTGCTGTATTTGCGGCGTGTTGGTAATTGCGTTACCCATCCCAATTATCGTCAACAATTTCGCCGAGTTTTACAAGAATCAGATGCGGCGCGAAAAGGCGCTCAAGCGACGAGAGGCGCTCGAACGCGCCAAGCGCGAGGGCTCCATCGTTTCCTTCCATCACATAAACTTACGCGACGCATTCGCCAAGAGCATGGACCTCATCGACGTCATCGTGGACACAGGTCAGTACCGCGTAGACCACTCGCTTGCTGCTTGTCCATGTCATGTCTCTTGCTCGGAATGCATGTTTACCTATCTCTCACTGTGCACGCATGCCTTCCGTGCTCAAACAGTGTCTGTGTTTATTGGATGCAATGAATGTTGAATGTGTGCACGTCGCATCGATGGCTCTCCGGACTCGCAGACATCTTCAAAATCAAAACAAACAGTTCACGATACATCGCAGCTACAGCTATGTTCACTCGTTGGTTGCGGCGAGGTGCACTCAGAGAGTTTTATTCCTTGTCTTCAGGTGACAAGTGCGTCCTCATTGAGGCGAGAGACGACGCCAGATGAGCATCTTGCCACTGTCACAGTGGTCTCACTCGACCCCTTTATATTAAGTCTGTTACTCGGGGTCGAGTCCATCGCGTGTAGCTAGCGATGTGCGACGAAGACTATAATCTAAGGTCGATTACATTGTCAGCGTAAGCCTAACGCTTCTTAGAACTAACACTCCTCTTCTGTGGACTGTCTGATGTGTGTATCCGGAGGACGCTGGATTCTGTGTACTGTACTGTTGGTGTGGAATGTGTGTTGTGTAGTTCACGCCGTTATTTTTGTTGTCCTAAATGTTTCTTCTTACTATTAAAATATATAAATATACGGGGATAATAGTGAAGCATATGGAATACGTCGCTACTCACAGTGGTATGTGTCTTCAGGACACAACTTGTCGCAGGCGGACGCCACTAGCTTGGAGGGCGAGGCTCCGGCCACCACCGGCTGCTACAAACAGTACGAACACTCCATCACCAATAAACTGCCTCAGAGTGCCGACCCCGGCCAGGTAATAATCACATGCTCACTTTCACGGGTACGTCCAATTATCATCTTGGCTAGCGTAGGGTGAGTGCAACGAGCTCCGCAATTTTTTTACTGCTCGCAACAATTCTTTCTCGCTAATAATTTATTCAGCAATTTCACACCACATTTTTTGCTTTAGCAGATATTTGCAGAACCAACGCTAGAGAAGAAGAGTTTACTGTCTGTAACTTTTGCGCTTTGAGCTTTGGACGGACCCTTTTGAAATTGCAGCCATAGGCTTTCCGCTAACACTGTAGGAAACAGTTTCAGAGCAGCCCTCAGAAAGAGCGCCGTTACTCGAACGAGGGCTTCGGTTCGCCGGAGAAACGCTTGCTCATAAATCCCGAACCTACACCAGTAAGATATCACCTATGTTTACATCTACGCTAACAATTGTGGCCAATTCGAGAATTAATCATTGTAGAACTGTCATAGTTGCCTGTTTGCCACAGCAAAATTTGAAACGCATAGATATAAAGCTTAAAGAACCGTCGGCGAGCACCGCATGGGTTGTATTTCCGAAGGATCTCTTCGTAGCGATGCAGCACTTCGTCGACGGTTTGGATTTGTTCACTACTTATCTCTAACCGTAAGGTAGGATTCAACTGGATACTAATGATTTCTCTTTTTCTAGGAAAAGAAGATGGCTGACAAACAGCTTGACTTGGATCAGCTGCCTTCTGAGTTTGAATGTTGTTTTTGCACGTTCAAGGTACTAAGATACTAACTCATTCATGACTTGTAGACGCCTCATTATTAATTACCTAATTATGCGATTTTGTTATTATTTGATGTATTAAATACTTTACTAATAATAATATTCCCATTTAGCATAAACCTGTAAGTATTTACTTACTTATTACTTTAGATTTGTATAACAAATGCCCATCCGTAGGTTTGTATGATTTTGCTCGGTTTAATTATGTTTGCAGCTAATCATTTTAATAACATAGGATACATGAAGGTAATTGCCGTCAATCTTACCCACCTACTTGGACAATCAATACCTATTTGTTGGCGTCTAAAATAAAAGTCATTGTTAGGAAACTTAAGTTATTAATTTAATGTACTTATCTGTAATTAAGTTACGGTTTGGAACCGTTAAAATAATTTCAATTATAATTATACTTTTATTTTTAACAAATAAATAACTTTATTTGTAATTGGAATTGATGGTAGTTGTACACTTTGGTGTAGGGGTACAAGGAGTTCATCGACGCCGAGCAGTTGATGCCGATGTCGACGTCAGACTTGCGGCAGCCGGTGTGCGTCGAGCTGGCGTGCTTGCAACGGCACCCTGCGCCCAAAGCTCTGCCCGAAGCCACCCCCAATAGTCTCGACAGCCCAGGTACTAAACATTACAAACTTGTCTAAATATTGTAAACAACAGACGTAGACAGTACGCATTCATTATATTTAAAACATTTCTGTTGTTTACAAGACGTACATATGTTTTTTTAAATTAGTTTCGTGTTCATGTTCTTTATGTGTTATCAACCCGTAGGCGTAGATTCAATTAAATTATTGTCACTATCTTGTCCTTGTTCGTTCACTGTCGTAATGTCGATGTCCTTTCGGCACATGTGTGTACCCACTATATTGTAACCATACGTACCTACTGTCTGACGTGTGCGAGCGGCACACCCCGTACCTGGTGGTGTGCGGCTCCATGTGCGTATTATGTCTTACGTTACAGATACATTTGCATCATGCCTTACGCACCCTTTTCCTTCAGAGGGCGACATCGCATGCGAGAACGACTCATCAAACTTGTATGTGAATCCTCTGGATGGTAGCGGCGGAGGCGGAGCGGGTGGGGGTGGGGGCGGGGTCACTGCCGAATTTAACGGAGTGCGCAGGAGTGCATCTGGGGATGGAAGCGTGTTGTGTGCCAAAGGTTCACAGGGCGAAGGGTCGCCGCGAGGGTCTCGGGTCAGCCTGTCGGGCGCGGGGGCCTTGCCGGCCGCGGGCGCGGTGGCGATCGCAAGACCGCTAGACGCGTCCCGCACCAGCCTACCGCAGCAGCTGGATGACGCGCCCCCGGTCGCTGACGACGCCAAGCCCAAGCACAGAAAGGCCCGCTTCCAACAGGTGAGCGCCAGCGACCCGCAGCGCCGCTCGCCGACTCCACACGCAGAGCTTTTACGAATGGTTCGGTAGTGTGTCCCAATGTCTTCGTCTTCCCAACCTTGTACGTCATGTTTGCATGATGTAGTGTTTATAGTTTGACTAATACTTCAATGTACTAAATGCACGACTTGTCATGGCCTTCATACTTTAACTACGCTTGTTTCTGAGGTCATGTGGGTAACACGAACATGATCGTTTGTCCCACAGGACTGGACGGAGGAAGAGAGGAAGCCGCCGAGAGGGATAGCTACGAGGATAATTAATCACCACATCCTTTTTGGTTCGTCTCATTTTATACGTTACTGTATATGTAAGGTATTAGATACATACTCAAAGCGCATTAAGGTAACTACACTGATAATACCCCACAGAAAAACACAAACTAAACTAACTTACATGCGTCAGGATGACTATTCTAAAAAGGACAAAAGGGGTTATGTAATATATGTACTAAGTTGGCTTTGCTTGAGCGGTTCGCTGGTAGTTCACGAATTGCCTCTGAATATGAAAAGATTGAAAGTGGACATGTAATTGATTGAAGCTAGGCTAGGACAGGGATCAAAGACTAGATAGTAGCAAGCTTATTAAATACCCATCATTTACATTACATTACCGACTCCCTAACTTGGGAAGGAAACGTTTGGTTTGTGGTTTGATTTGATTACTCATAACAATCATCATGTTTTTTGCAATTTAACTTTTTGCCTAAACTGAGTCACATTTACCTTAGTAAGACGGCCTCTACCTTTTTTAATTTTAAATTTAATTATAATAGTTAGCGGCTTTCTCACGTAATTGTTTGACGAGGAACTCGAATAGTTTCAAGACACGCGAGGGGCTCATATTCATAAACAGTTGCGCGCAACATGACGCTGCAAATATCGCACAAATAGGTTTTAATTAGTAACAATGATTATGTGAGAGAGCCGTTCAAATCATTAGCTATAGGGTGTCACAAAAGTTTTCAAAATTTAATAAAAGTATGTATACTTATAAAAGGCTGCAGGGTGCTTCAACCGGCCGATCAAGAAGTCATTAAGAGAAAGCCTATGTTCAGCGGTTCTTATAACTTTAATAAAAGGATGATTTAAATTTTGGTCGTTAATTTTAGAAGATGTCATCTATTTCAAAGCTATTAGTGATATTATTTTGCACGAATATGTGTAGGTAAGAACGGAAACAAACGCGGCGGCGGCTGGCCGCTAGAGGGCGACTCGCGATCGCGCTCCATTCTCAAGAACAAGGAGTCACGAGGCACCGACAGCGAGCTGTTACTCCAGGAGACCACCTCGCTCGGTGCTAACGTACGTAATCTTTATTATGTTACTGTTGTAAGAAGTGACGCTAAGGCAATTATAACCTAATGTATATTTCACTAGCGCACCTGCCAAATTAAAGTACAGAAAGTTTAAAAGAAAAATAATTTACTGGAAGTTGCAGTTACACCTGACCTTTGTAAATGTTTCAGGGCGATTCTGGCAGCGAGTCGTCGCCGATTAGATTGAAAGACTTCAAGGGCCAGAACCACAAGGGCGGCGCTTCAGAGAGGGACAACCTAGTAACGTAGTGTGTAGAGGGCGCTTCTTGCTTGACGCGCCAAGTGGGTCAGTTACCCCGGTAGATACGCGGACACGGCATTCGCCAGGCCCCATACACGAAGCGAACTTGAATACTTAGAATGCAATAACATTAAAATTATATACAAATAATTTTAACATATCATTGGGCGATTGTGACTGCTTGTTGAATAGATTTTCATTTCGTAGAGTTATAAATATTGTAAAAAATATTACTTATTGTAATAATCGTTCATTCCAATCGAAAAGTTGAAGAAACCTATTTGTTAAGTTTTTTTACGTGCAATTATTAATTGCTAATTCTAATGTAAGCGATATAGTTTGTACAGCATAGTTGATGAAAAATGAAGCAATTATTAAAATTAAACATTTTCTGAAATTGTTACTGAATGTTTCCTTTAAAGCCGTACGGAGAATTCAACAGGTAACTGGGTAAACAAACGAAAATACTATTATTAGTCAACAATGATATTTATTTGGAAGCTAAAATATATCCTATTTTAGAGTATTAAACATAGAATTATAACGTAAAATTTTCCATTTTAACATTAGGAACGTGCTATATTATAGAAAAGGACAGTTAACACACAATGTCGACCTTATTACATATTACAATTTTGCAAAACTTTAGAAAATACTTCCAAACAATCTAAATGATGATAATATCACAAATTACAACGTGAGACACGTAATCCACTATTGATTACCATGACTGCTTTTGGAATTTAAATAAATAGAAATAATTTAAAAAAAATGGTCCAAATAATAATACTCAATTGTCACATAGACGATAAACATTAATTAGATTAATACTTAATTAAATATAATAAAACATCGAGTGAGTGAGTGATAACAAAACTAAGACATTAAAATACTTTGGTTCATGTGAGTACATTCATTAAACTACGTACACTGGTGTGACTGAATGCTGAAATCCGTTGTTATGTTCTGTGCCCAAAATATACACGAGTTGACAGAGAAACTTTGATAAAAACCATTGTCGGCTAGGTAGTGTAAATTTACTTAAAAGCCTTAGAGAGAAAAGGCTCCCTAACGCTCACAATTATTGTATCCAATGCCATGTATCGGAGAGACTGGTCAAGCTATTATATAAATCCTCATTCAAATAAACTACATAATGTCTCGATCTTACTTTAATACTTCACAAAACTTCAGACAAGTAGGCACGTGAAATAATACGACAGCCTTTTTGATAATATAGTAAATTCGTCTTATTTAATCTGTACATACATGCCTATATATAATTATTTTGTTAAAACTATTTACATAAACAACTAGAACATTTAATTTACAGTCATCTAAAGAAAATTCTAATGTGTTGTGTAGTATTACAGCATAATAATGAGTTACAATGGACGTACTTTTCGGGGAACAAACAGATATCAGCACTTGCTTCAATTCAGATCCATTAAAACTTTATTCAAAAAAAAAAATCTTATTTAAACAATTGAGGAACCTGCTATATTATATTGTACTTTGATTTCTATACCAAACTTAATTAATAATTTAAAGAAAATCTACAAAATATGTACTTTTCGCAAATCCATAGAGCCCTTTTTTAACGAGAGGGTTTAGTGTTATTTTTTTAAACAGTAGAAGTAGAATTGTCATTCTTTGTATAAAAAAAAATTAGATTCAATATCAGCAATGTCGGTAATGACGACACAAAGAAAATACGTATAGATCTCGATGTAAAGAAAGATCGAAGAAGTTATATTTGTGTATAAAAAAACACACACCGTGTATAAGAATCATTTGGTCTACAAGAAAATGTTTTTTATATTCAACTAGATTTTTCTGTCAGCTTCGGCCGCGATACCAAACCAAAAAGTTTTTAACATGTCATTTAACTTTATTATGACTCGATCATTCGTTTTTTTTTTGAGGTGGCAGAGTTATCGATTTTCTTTCTTGCTTTGGGTGGAGCGAGAGGGGGTGTCAGACTATTACTAATTAAAAACCACCTCGTTCCTTCTCCTACTTCAGGCCGAAGCCGCATTACATTAGTTTTTGCCCTTATTTAACATTTGTAATATTAATTTGACAGTATAAAATTTGGGTCTGATTAATATAAAATCCAGTATTATCTTGATACAAGAGAATTACTTGAGTCATGTGACCGATCAATGTCTGATATTATCGAAATCAATAAACCATGACTCCGCTGTGTACAAAGCGTCTTTATTAAATAATATACTATAGGTATATAATAATATATATAGTAGTTAATGGGTGTAAAAACGAACTTCGTATCTCGGATGACATGACATAAATAAACATATAAGATTTTTTGTTTAGGATTTGCATTGCTTTTGTACTTGTTTGTAATTCGGGACGGATAGAAAAATATTCGTTTTGCTACACTAATAATAGTGAGGGAAAAATATACGTTTCCTTAGTACCGATCAACATTTATAACCTCACTTAAAGATCATGATGATGGTAGCGTGATATCCTTAATACTTAACCATGAAATCTAAGGACTTTCCAGTGCGAAAAACCATTTAGAGGTGCTTAAAATAATAAAACTTGAAAACGATCCTAAGTTCAAGGTCACACGATTTAAAATTGCATGTAGCTTAATAACCCGAATGATCTGAATTGCGCTGATACCTGCCCCGACCTCGTAGCGATCTCTCCGTTAGCATTGCCCTCGCAGCCGATACAGGTATTGCACATAAATAAATGTTATTGTTACAAAATTATTGTTTATCCGTACATTACTTACATTGAACACACAGGCACCTTACTTTAGTAATCTTGGCAGTATATCATGGCACGTGACACTTTGTTGTATTTCTGTAGCATTCGATGCCCTCCGCAACACTCGAACAAACGCAACTTTTTGAACCAAATTAATATTACGTGTAAATGTGTCAATTATTTGTTCGTACAATATGAAAATACAATGAATTATTAAATTTAAAGCTTTGAGTAATAAAAATATCACAAATAACTTTGTCAGTTTAATATATGAAGCCAAATTGAAGGCCCTTTGGGGACCACGATCGCTTGGATTTGTCCGTGCACGGTGTTCTCTATATCCTAGATACGTAACGTATAAAAATGTGTCACCAGCACATAATGTGTTGTTATTGTGCAAAAATGCTTGTATCAAATTTGGCTTCACGTCAACGTATAAAACAACAAACAGTGCTCTCTATAAATTATCCATAACTTAGTGACATTTCATATATTCTCCCGTTCAATCACTGCGCACACACTGCACATCTATGTTCTGTAGGAATTTCTGAAAACCTAACAAAATGCAAACCAAATCAATAAGTGTTCCCAAATATATCGAACTCATGATGAGAGATATTCACGGAATGCGTAGAGTTAGAAACACAATGCAAAATATTTAACTTAACAACTAAATACTAGTAATAACAATTCCTTTTAAGTATTAATAGTCAGTTATGTTCCTGATACACGTAAGAAAAGTAAGATATCGGGCGCGGTATGTTTAGTTCGACCATCATAAACATGCTTTGCAGAATGATTGATAAAATAAAATTTGGTTTTAAAACTACCGAAAACATTGTGACTATAATTAGGTTGTTAGGAGTCGGTACTGTATGAACATTGAACCTGCCGATGTAAACCTTCACATCACATACAATCACGTCACAGACACATGCCAGACGGAGCCAGTTGTACGCGTATCGCAAATACAAATTTCGTTTGGACTAGGTATTTACATAGGAATGAATCCAATTCCCGATACAACATTTACACTGAAGCACGAGAGCTCGGCAAGGAGCCGTCACACACAGGTATGTACAAGATGGAGTGCACGCGAACACGTTAGTATCAGCGGCGACGCGGAGGGTGGACTACCTGTGCCAGGCTATGGTGAGCGCGGTGCGGAGCTTGGTCCACAGCCACGGGTACAGGCCGCCGCCGCGCCACGCCGCGCGCGCCACGTACTTCACGTAGTCGTACAGCCCCCACGGCGCGTGCCCGCCGTTCACGTAGTACACGTACGTGAACCCGTCCTTACATCGACCCTTAATCGAGTAGTAGTACGGCAGAAACGAGTGCAGGCGGAATCTAACAAACAGACAATCCACCTTTTACAAAGAATGTTCATAATAAATATTTTGGTGTTAATTTTCAGGCCAATACAAATATGTAGTTAGGTATATTGTTTGCATGCCATTATTATTATTACTACTTAGAAGAAGAACTATTTAGAAGACACGACGCACAGATTTCTACAGAAGGGTAAAAATACCCACTAGATTATAAGGTAAGTACCATTTTCAATTTATCGCAATACAGGTCAAGGTTACACGAACACCAAGATTCATAGATAAATAATACGATAAAAATAGGTGGAATATCTATAAATTGTAGATAAAATGGTAACGTTTAAGGAGCGTAAGTATGAGTAGATGTGATATAGATGAAGAATAACATTATATTGAAGATAACATAGCCATCGAATAATATTGAACCGATTCTTATTCAATTTAAATAGGAAATCTTCTGAATTATTTATTATCTATGCATAAGCTCTCTAAATAAAAAATACCTAACCTAAGCACAGCCATTAGTAGGTATGACCAGCTTATAGTATAAAATCATACATTAAAAAAAAACAAAAATAACTTAAAAGTTAAACCTATATGTTTTGCAGATTGGCCGTCAAGATAACTAACTATAATCGAGTTAGTAGGCACAAACATATGTATGTATGTATAGATCATAATGTGAAAATAAACTGATAATTTTTGATAAGATACGTTTCCGCCAAGCCTTGTTAGGTGGACATGACAATTGGTATCTTATGATCTATAGGCAATAACGTCTATGGAATAAGCATTCCATGGTTCTTTAAATAATAACTAACGCCGTTGATTTGTAAGGACTTGTTACAATTCTTTTACATTACATTCAAATCTATGCGATGAAAAAAATAAATATTACTCTTTTTTATCGATTTTGTAGTCGAAATCGTGGTCAGCTATGAATTTTGATTAGTTAATAATGCAGATAAGTATCGATGCTATATCGGTAATTTTTCAGTAAAGGTGAGATAATAGGAATTATGTCACATTGTTACACTTTATGAAAAAATAATAGATACATGTGATAAAAAAATGCCATTATTTATTGAAACACAATGGCACTTTATTTCAATGGTAACGTGCACAGTAAAAGAGACCATAGTAAATAAAACGGACAATTTAAAATTGAAAGCAACTGTTGCAGGTCGACGGTCGGTCACGAGTTTCAAGAACGTTCGCACAGTTGCGCATGAGTAATTCCCAAAACTAAATTAGGTATTCATTACAACGAACTGTATTATCGTCAGAATGTAATTATGTAAAAATTTGTGGTTTTATTACACTTTCTAACATGCTCGTGGAAACATCTCTTTAAGAAAATTTTAATACCGAACAATATTTAAACGATGCTGTTTTCCTTTATGAGTAACGATGGTAATTGAATAATAATAATTGATGCAGAAGTTGGCAATAATTATTTTATACAGTATAGGTAGAACTAGTGAACAAATTAATATCCAAGCACCTATTTTATTAAAAAAGATAAAAAAATAAGGTTTTATTTGTTGGGAACCACGATTCCCATTCAAATGTTTGTCTTTACTGTCCGTACTATTGTCGCAATAACGACAGCAGAACCACTCTTTTATGAGAACCAAACATCTTTCTTCTTGATGTCGGTCTGATATTGTGAAGATTAGAGAACTATTTTTTTAATGACACCCCATTTTTTAAGGTGCCATTTTGGTTAAACAAAAAAAAAGCAAGAAAATGACTCACCTTCTGTGTTCGTAAAAAAGTATAGCCTCTGTGTTTGTTGTGAGCACGTGAAGAAATATTGCCTTGACGCGGTGCTCATGAGGCGGCTGCGGCACGGGCCCCGCCAGGTGGTTGATCAGGACATCGAGTAGCATGGTCGCCACGCCGGAGCGCCGAAACGACCGAGCAACTCCTGAAGACAACCGTAAAATACCACATAAATAAGATGCTTGTTAACCTAAACCGAACTAAGTCTGTAATGAATACTAACTAATATGAATGTTACGCCACCATCGCGCTGGCTTGATTATGGAACTAGAAGGTATAGGGAAGGTATATAGGAATACCTTGGACTAAATGCTAATAAACAATATCGAATTTCGCCTCATTGGATGTGTTCATTTCTTCTAAAAAGGATGTCATTTAATTAAGATCTTTTTTAGTTTTTAAATATGAATTTATTTATAACGATAATTTAATGGTTTTAAGGCTTCTTCTTTGTAAGAACTAAAGTTTTCAATAATCTACACTGGCGACAGACGGGTTGGACTTCGCAGTTTAAAAAGTTTGGATTTATCAAATGACATTCTCTGTCAAATATATTAGTAGTATATATTGTTTAATTGTTATTTATTGAAGGTATCAAAGTAAAATCAACTATCACAGAGTTAACAGTTCAATCACCTGAACCTCAAGGTTTGAATCAGTACCTGCAAGGTCTTGTAGTCATAACAGAATGAATACCTTGTATAACAGTTAAATTATACAAAAGTCATACTTAATTAGTGTTTATCAAGGACTACTTTCGCGTGCGAGTCAATAGTTATACCTTGATAGTTGAGTATTTATATACTTCAGTACCTAATTAAAAATATAACTGAACAACATAACATATTATATCATCATTTAAATAAGCAATTTGTGCTAGTCATTTTTTTTTCTTTACTGCTTCATGACCTTACGAATTTATTACTCTCTCTACTTTTCTATCAATTCAAACATTTACAACCTCAAGTCCAATTTTATGCCTATATGGGTAAGTTTTTAACAAAGTGTCATTACAGCCTTCCTTTACCTTATTGCAAAGATTGACTAAGATATTAATTACCAGATACATAGAAAACAAGCAGCACAACAGGTGAAATAACTAAAACTGGCTAACTATTGTCATATCATGATGATAATGCAATTAGGTCCATTTTGCTATAACCTATTCCTTGAACCGTGACCCTAGAAAATATAAGGATGCACTGTTATACAAACAAGACATAAGTACAGATATAATCAAAACACATACCTAAAGACAGTATGTAAGCAACAAGTGTGTCCTTTGAGGCAAACCATCTTGATAATATTCCCCGATCCTCCGCATTCAATTTCAAATAAGGCTTTATTTCTGCCACAATAAGGCCTATAATCTCACTTTTGTGCACTGCCGCCAAGGCAAAAAACCTTTCTGATGATGTAATGTCTTCATACCAGGACTGTGGATATTCTATGGGGAACCAATCTCTACAAAGAGATCTCACCTGAAATTTATTGAGAATATGCCATTTTAATTTTGGTTATTATCCATTTTATTCCTTTTATTAATTGAATACTTATGAACAACTTAACTCCAAAATAAGATTTCAAATTAAATTTTAAAGCTTTCATAGCATTTAAATTAAATAAACAAAACAATCCATGATTCTCCTATCTGCATTGATATAAAATAGTGAAATGAAATATCCATTGTTTACTGTACATATTGTAAAGAATATATTTTTGCGAAGAGTAAATTAAAATTAACAATGACCAGGCAATGTTATTGCAGCTCATAAAACAACCTAAAGTTTATGATGATAAAGGATTTTCCTGTACATCAAATGCTTTAGATTTATTCACAAACATCCAAATAATATTGATTAAATCAATCCAAATCCAAATAAATTAATTCTGTGAATATCATCATTGACATAAGTTGTATGGATTTGTGTGAAAAATAGAGATCTGTCTACAGATTTTGGATTGGGATGGTTATTATTGTTGGCAGTCTATTAAACCCCTTAAAGGCAGTGTCACAACAAATTTCACCAATAATGTAATTTGTCATACGTGTGGTGAGTACACTGCTTTACCTTTCACCCATTTTCAAACTCAGTTGTAACTATGTTTAAAAAAAAGTTGGTTAAATAAAAAAGTAAGTAATACTTTGCACAATTCAGGAATTGGATACGCAAAAGCAGTTACCGAAAATGGTTGTAGTACAGTACAGTAATATTAAAATTATTACGAGACATGTGAATATGTAACTGAGTCATAATGGAAGGCAGTCTTGAAATAATGACATTAATCAGAGGGAAAATAGAATTTTAAGAAAAAGAGAATTTATGTTTTAATACTGTGAATAACATAAAAATAAGATGAATAAGAATTAAAGGTATGTTAGAAAGAAGGTAAAAAATTAAAATAGTCTAAGCTTCTGATATGCAGAGCATTGTGTACACTCTAAAACCACTTGTTAATTAGTTCACAGGGTCAAATATTGTTTTGGTCATGAATAATTGCAATACAAACCTCCTCTAGGTCATCAGGGCACAAGAAACGCAATTGGATATCTTTTAGAGAGCATTTTGCGTCCTTCGACTTCTCAATAATAACTTGGAAGCCTTCAGAAAGGTACCTGCAAAAAAATTAATTGTAAATAAAAGTAAATAGAATTATACTAATGGATCATTTCAATTTAATGTTCTAATGCAATATTATAGGTGCATACAAATATTTTTAATATATTTCTGAACATTAAATTAGGCCAACTATTACAGTGAACCATATAAACAAGTCTAGTGCAATCATTTGCATTTACATACGATTGCATTTTAAACTGAAAACAATCAAAAGTACTTTGCCCGCTCAATTGGACAATTTATCCAATTATAGAGTTCAAGGAAGACAATGCAGGCACACAAACAAGTGCGAAACACTATGAATCGAATCCCGATTAAATAAATAGGAAGGGTCAGGTAAACTTACCAGCTGAACCCAGCCATTCGGTAAATCGGCCATTAATAATGTCACTCAATAATCTTCATGAGTACACATGTTATCTTTACCAAAAACTTTCATATTATTGCAATAATGGGAACTTTAATCACAAACCCGATAACATTTTCCTTTTGACTGAATAAATTCGGTTTGTCAAATGAAGTGTTTGACAAATTTGACAACAAATAATTTTGACAGGCAGTTGCCATAAATCATTTGAGATGTTTGCAAATGTAAAATTATTTTTTGCTAAAAACATTTTTATATTGCTAATTACTTTTTACACATTACATGGGAATATTAAATATAAAATAAAAATAAGTCCATTGCCTATTCCAAAAAATAATAGAATTGCTTAAAATACTGTTATGGGCGTAGCTGGAACGCATCAATTTTTCAGTTCTACCAACCTAACAAAATTGGCCTGACGCATGCAAATATAAACAACATTTAGCGCCAATTATTCAATTTTTTTTTAGACAATCGTTTAATAAATAAAAGCGTGATACTTATTTACTCATCTATATTTATTAGATACCCATTTAATTCATATAGTTAACGTTAAAGTATTTTCTTCGATGATTTTAACCTGTATAGAACATTGAATCTAATAATTTTGTATTAACACCAGCTACTCTTAGGTACGCGGTTTCATCCGCTGCTCGGCTCCATTTGATCGTCGTGTGATGTTTTATAGCTTATAGCACTCAGGAACATTGTAGCTATCTACCAGTGAAAGAATTTTGGCAATCCGACCAGTGGTTCCAAAGATTACCCCCTACATACAAACTTACAAATTCTACCTCTTTATAATATTAGTATAGATTTAAAACCCAGTTTCTGAATGGCATTTTGTAAAATGTACTTAATGTATCAAATGATCTATTGTATACTTACCTATACCTTTTTGGAGGGGGAAAAACATCAAATTACTTCTCCCGCCCAGGGTAAGGCGAAAAAGAGTGTCCCCGTAAAAACCCACCCGTTCCTTCTTTGCGAGTTGAGCGTAATGTGTCACCGCGGCCTCGGCCCAGAGCAGGAGAAGGAACGGGGGGTCTATAGTCAGTAAGAGTCTGACACTCCTTCCCGCCCCACCCTGGGCGGGAGAAGTCATTTAAAAACCCAGCCCTATAGGGCCCCATCTGTGGTGGTCTATTAGCTCCATGAGGCGCGCGCGGATCGCTACGCGCCGTATGTACGTTCTGGTCTGGTTCTGGTCGGTTGGCGAGCTACCCTTACTCGCCGTTCGCAGACCCGCGCTTACGGTGGCCTTGTTGTAAGACTTTTGGTCTAATTAGCTTTTTTGCGAAATGGCAGTGTTAGACTCTTACTGATTAAATAAACTTCCCCGTTCTATCGATACCTTATCGAGGTCGCCCCGAAAGCTCCGCTGATTATCGGCTCTGTTGGCCCCATCTGTTTATTGGCTTATTGAGGCGCGTGCTTTCTCCGCGCCGTACACTTGGGTCAGGTTCTGGTCCGCAGACCCACACCGACGGTGGCCGGAGATCGTCACTTGATCTCCGGCGCTCGGAGTGTATCTTTCTGCGACGGCTGGGACGTTAGGAAAGTGCCCAAACACGGTACACCCCCACCTTAATCTCCACCGTGTCCTCAGGGTGGTCTTCATAATGACAACACCCGGGCGTTTCCTCCCGCTATCGAAAGAGATACCTACTGAAGCTTTCGTGTCTGGTTTGGTAAGTACCTGTGTGAGGCGGATATTGGTCCAATCTACCAGTTAGATACGGACAGAACCAATAAAAAATATAATTAGGTAACATGTAAAAATTTATCTCAAAATGGTACCTGAATAGTTTTCAGAAACTTAGTCAGGAATCGTAAGATGTCTTATCGTTTCATAGAATTTTAAATTTCAAAGTATTGCTAGAACTGCAGTAATAACTAGTTGGATAGAATATAGACGAATGTCTTTTCGTCTATTATTCGTTTATCTTCTAATAGCTTCCGTCCGCGGCTTCGTCCGTGCCTGTGCCAAATTTCATCGAGATCCGTCCAGCCGTTTGGCGTGATGGAGTAACAAACATCCAAAAATCGTAACTTTCGCATTTATAATACTAAGTAAAAAGTAAGAAGTATGGTATTTAAGTGTCGTCGGGAAAAATGTTTTAAATCACCTTAAGCAGGTCGACTCTCAAATCGAATTATAATTATTACTTTTTGATTTCATCAACATAGGTAACAATTTTATTTTAGTTTAAGTAAAACTTTGCTTGTAGTACAGTTCCGCGCAATCTGATTATCTAAAACTAGTAGCCTATACCTATATAGGTATGTTGTAGTTACCATACGAATACAATTGAAACCATACGAAGGCATCAACCAGTGGAAATAATTGAAGGGAATGATTCCACATGTGTTGGTATCAGCGAGTACTTACATTGTAGTGTAGGATTTGATTCCTCGATGTTCACCAGACGCCTTGGTATCGCCTTACAGTGAGCGTGCCACAGATGGACAATGTTCACACGAAATGTCGCTCGATGAGTCCACTTGAGTTCGACTGTTTAGTTTTATACTGTGGACGAATGTTTTGCTACTTTCATGCTTGAGTCAGATACACTTTAATGTTTTTTTTTGTATATTAGGACACAGTATGTGCAGCGATTCTGCAAATATTATGTTCAAAATGAGCATAAAATAATAACATTTTCCAGAATTTTCTTTCATACTTATCTAAGTAAGTATGTACCTATTAAGAGATATATGTTTTTCACTGTGCCTACTGTGTGGCTTTCCCAGGGTATACTGTTTCTATGTTGTTTAAGTTGGAACCGAATTCTCTTTGTGATTCGTAGATCTCTGTTTAACATTAATGTAGTGATGAATCCGGTCGACGGATAAGAACAAAAAACACAAGATTAAAGCGTAAAATTGAGCATGCTGCTCTCCGCCTCTGTAATTAATATCTTATGTGTTGGCGCACAAAAAGTGTGTTAGTCAAAGTATAGGATATCATTCGTCCGTCAGTCGGTCCATGTGTATCCTATGTGTAACGCGAGCCGCCGCCCTGCGCACGCGCCTCGCGCTTCGTTTGCACTCAATCTTAATATTGCAGCTACGATGCACCATTACAAATTCATAACAACCTTTTTGTACAATGTTTTTGTTTCTGTGGAAGTTAAAAATCTCGGAACTGTAACATTAGTCACGCGATGATATTTACAATGTTAACTGATATGGGCATTTTAGTTAATTTTACTAAATACCATCAACAGCAATACCTTAACATGCTTGCATCATCTAATTGAAAAGGAGATGATTCCAACTTGATCTTTAGCCGGTAACATGATACAGTCCGCCTGCGATAGTAAATCAGCCTATAGCTCATAATTCTCTTAGAGTATGATAATTACATAATTTGCTGATATGTTTATTGGTCTCATTAATGTCGGTCGCGAAAAATGTGAGAGTGATAAGATAGGGGATGAGAACAAGAGAGGCGTTGTGCGTCGGGGCGGGCGCGAGTGCGCGACCCGCTCGCTGCGTGTGCGCCGGAAGCGACGGACGGGTAGGGGTCGCCGACTATCTCGCATCGTACGACAAGGACCCGTAGACATACATCACCACTTCTGAGAAATATGGACTGGTCATTTAAATTAATCAAGATAGTTACTTTTTTGAGTAACAAAGATGTGTCCTAAATTATATTAATTAGGTATCAAGCCACAAAAACTTTAGTGTTGTATTGCTACAGGTAATTGCTTTTTAATAAAGCTTTAAATTCATTATTTGAGTGAGACACAAAATAATTATATACTATACAAAAAAATCACGTATCGTCCTTCATACAAGCAAAGTCTCCTCTCCACATCATGAAACTGAATAAAAAAAAAATTATTATGTTCCAATTAGTTGGTATGATTTCACCATCAACTTTAGTAAGTTGGTAATCTACATTTAGATGTTTATGTAATACCAAAACTGTTAAAGCACAGAATATAGAAAATAAGCTTAATTTAGAACATGGAAAAATATATTTATTAGGCAACATGATTGTTATGTACTAAAAATATTTAATCACAATAATAACTTATCTACTAACATAGATAGTCACTATTTTATTTATTTATAACTTATTCTCTAATCTACTACTTACCCTTAAGCTTTGGAACTTGAAGAATTTTATAAAGTATCAAACTAACATAATTTATACCTAATATAAAAAAAAATGTTTCATTAAATTTAATATAAAAAAATCTGTAACAGCTATAGGCATCCGTGTTCAACCTGCTACAAGAGATACAAGAAATAATTTCATATTTAAAACGTTTCTTACATTACTATTAAAAAATAAGTTGTTAGATAAGTGACACTGTAATCCGACAGGAGGTAATTAATGTACCTTCACCTTCACTTCACATTTGCATAAATTATCGGACATATTTCTGGTACATTTTTAATTTCTAGGTAGATAAGTGTATTTGTTGATAACATAACATTTGGTCCAGTAGTTAACATTATATAATAATAATTTATGCAAACTTAAACCTATTAAATATTTATTCAGCTTACACAAATTAAACGCACGTGCGCGCCGCGCGCCGTTTCGTATAGTGCTTACATGGCTACCCAATTATATTTACAACAGCTACGTGACCTATTTTATAAGTTACAAAAAATGAGCGGCGATAAAATATTTCGATCTTTTGATAAAGCTTACTGCTATTACTAAAAGTCTTTGAGACACTAAAGTGCAATCACTTTCTCAAGATTTTTGAATGCGGCTTAAGGGTGCCCCGGATAGGGCGACCAATCTGCTCCGTACGGGTGATGGAGATGGGGCGGTCCATATATGGGTGGAGGTGGGTGTTGAAGGCTGTGGGGGTACCGTGGTTGAAGCTCGTGGTAGTCGGGGACGGGTTTTATTAGGTATTGTTCTAGTTCAGCATTATCTGGCGGGCCGTCCGGCAACAGTTCACGAGATATATCCGGCATCGCAGCGAAGTCAATCTGATCTCTTTCTGGTGAAGGTTCTCGCTTAGGGCGGACTGCTGAAGTAGGCTGGGGCTTGCGACGGCGAGGTTGATATTTGTAGTCTGGGTACTCTTTCTTATGTTGCGTCCGAAGTTTATCAGCTTCTCTGATAAAAGGTAACTTTTCAGTTTCGCTCAGACCCCTGAAAAAATCGTTTCGGTTAGTATAATTAATGTGCAAGCATTAACGTGTAAGAGGTATAAGCAACTAAAAGTTTCTTAATTAAAAGGAGGCATAAGGTAGTGTTATAAAGTCCGACCAACTTCTTGCGCCGTAGGCTACATCGGAGGGGTTCAAGGTCCCTGGTAGATACCTATAAGTATATCGACCTAGGTCTCATGACTTATTCGTAAGTAAAAAGTACATTAGGTACTGGTTGAAGTTTTATTTTGTTATCATGCTGCAAACAGGAGTTGGAACAGGTAGTATTAAGTCAGCAAGATCCTCACGCTTCCTCTTACCCTATATGGGCCGGTTGGATTATATAGGTACCTCTTTCTACAAAAGAACCTTATTAGGTACATAATCCAATATCAATAAATCACTACACTGGAGGAAGGCGTATTAAAGATGTCTTATATTTCACATTCCAATGCCAGGTCTTCCTATAGTAAATATAATATAATATTAAGGTAATTGAATATCTAAGTATGAATTTGGCCTTTGACTTTGCTAATCTACTTGATCTGGATCCGCATCTTGAGAAGTGAGTCGAGTGAGCGTGATGACAGTGTAAGAGAGCTCGCCAATCACAACAAAGCAATCAGGCTCACTTCACCGACTGTTTTCTTTGATGATTCGAGACTTTGCTCTGTTACCTAGAGTATAGAATACGTAGAGCGCGTGCCTATTTTGCATAACACAGTCATAACATATTATATAAACTACGTGTATGTCCAGGTATAACAGAAATGGGTTGTAGAAAAAATAATAATATAAGATGGTTCTGTGACTAGAGCGACTTCGTATTTCTTTTAAAATTAAAAACGAATTTATCCACGAACTGGTTAAAACTTCAAAATCAACATGTTGTAATGGAAATTTTATTAATGTGTTTTTTGCATTGAATACATTTGAAGTTGTTATTGTAAAAAGTGACTTAGGCTTTGTGCCCTTGTAATAAGGATTATAGCAGACCAAGTGCCGGTAAAAATCCAAAATCTACTTTACTTAAAAATCTGACAAAAAGAATTAAAAAAACCAACTTAGGTTTGTAAAACAAATTAGTTAACGATAACGTGCCAACCTAACAAATACATATTCAGAAAAAGAATAATTTCTGTGGCCTCTTTCTCTAAAATAGTGACAGCGCTCGATAGCTCATTTCTACTTTCTTGATCGTGTCTCATTCTCGTCAAAAGCGCCGGAGCTTCGAGCGCCGTACGCGGGTGGCCTACGACAAGTTGCTTTTACGATCGTTGAGCGTACTTAGTGCTTATTTGATCCCAACGTTCGGAAATAGTTCTGGCTTCAAAGAATTCCCATCACTATGAAGTTAATGTTTAACGATTTCAATATTATATCTTTGAGGATGAATCTTAATAAACTTTCAAGTTTAAAAAAATGTCTAACTACCGAGAATATAAAACTTAACACTTTGTACCTAACCTATACTAATATTATAAACAGGCAAAATTTTTAAGTTTGTATATTTGTAAGTTTGTATGTAGGGGTAATCTTTGGAACTGCTGCTGGTCGGATTGCCAAAATTCTTTCACTGATAGATAGCTACAATGTTCCTGAATGCTATAGGCTACAAAACATCACGCTACGATTAAATGGAGCGGAGCAGCGGGTGAAACCGCGTGAGAGTAGTTAGTTCTTTACAATTATAAGTTGTTAAAATATGTATGTACTGTTCAATGACCAATTGAAACTTACAAAAACGTAAGTATAAGTAATATTTTATTGGGAATGCTTCAGCAAATTTTGTTAGAGATAAACCAAACGCGAATTTGTTCCACAATTTTCTATTTGAGCGAGCCGAATTGGAAACAGTTACAGATGTTATCGTGTCAGTTAGCGGCGATAGCATTTTAATGAGTAAACAATCGATGCACGCCGCGCTGTTGGACGCCGCACGCGCACCTCGGTCGGCAACCGGCCAGCGTCGGCCGCAGGTACTGATCCGAGGTTCATATTTTCGTATTATCAAATTCACTCGGATATGACTCGAGGAATGTGATTCAATTACATTGTATTGGAGAATGAAAGTAGTGAATATGCCTTAGATACACTCTACTGAACAGAAAGAAAAAGTAATTTTACTAATCTTTATAATTCCTCATCTGATTTCAATATCTTATCAGGTATATTGCATCCATATATTAAAATTAACCTACAAGTTTAATGTTTAACGAACTTGTAGGTTCATTTCAATATATGGATCCACATACTTACATTTATAATACAATGCATATTACATATTTCGTAGCACCCAGAGCTACGGCGTAGACCATTCAAATAAGTCTTAATTGATAAAGTAAGTAAACAACTTAAAAGATAGAAGTTTAATTAGACTTACTTCCACATGGTACCCAGTGACTTGCTAAGCTCTGCGTTGTGTAACGTGGGCCGCCGTTCAGAGAGGCGCCTGCGCATCGCTTGTGCGAATACCATAAACGCGTTCATTGGACGCTTCACGTGTGTGCGTCGCATGCACGCACCGCTCCTGTTGGACAAAATATATTAGTGATTAGCAAACAGATAACTTTAACAAGTAAATAAGGTAAGGAATATTTTCAGTTGTGTGAAACCTGGGCTTTATGGCAATGGTAATGAAATAACATAAAACTTAAGAAAATGTCAAAACCCAAAGAAGTTTTCTCAAATCGTCACCATGGTTATTAATATGTCTCCTTGAGTAAATCATCACTAAAATTGCCTGGTTTTTTGGAATATACTAATTGGCTAGTATCGGTTGATGCCGTAGATATCGAGTCGAATTATTCAAAGTAACATTTTTAATTGTAACGCTGAAATATCTAAGTATTCCAAACATTTTGATATCGAACTTTAAAAATGAAATGTACAAATATTAAGCACCATGCTGCTTTGTTTGGTAACAGAGTTACAGAGCTATAAATAGTTGGGCTTAGACCCATATCCGAACAAAAACTGATATTGACATAAACAATATGAAATGCGCACTTGAGCGGGCGCGGCCGCCACTACTCAAATTGGTTTAGCTTTCGGCGCGCGCCCGATAATTACTAGGTAACCAAACCCATCAAGCGACGACGACCAACGACTATAAAGAAAATAAATTACGATTTACCCTCTGTGTATGGCGCAGTGAACAGTGGTGCGCCTGCGCAGAGAACATTTGTAAACAGCCCAAGTGGCGTGGCCGCACGACTCACGTCATTTTACGCTCGTAAACATCTCTTATTTTATTACTTTTTTATTTTCTAATGCTCGTTCGGGTTTCCTTGCGATCTGAATGCTGACAATAAATTATGTTTTTTTCTTCAAACACTGACACGCCACTAAAAGTCGATCGATTTCTAACGGATTACTCTCGAGAAGTAATATGAGGAGAAATAATCACCTACCGCTTCGGCGAACTTCAGCGGTTTCCTTGTTTATTACTCAGAACGAGTTCTCATAATGTAAAACATTTTTATTACACTAATTCTAAACTCACGAATGAATAGACTGTAGATGCCTATTTAGATATTTCTTTAAGGTTAAGAGCAGTCACCAATCGTATGATGTTTGGGGTACTTTATTAGAAACTAGATTTTTGAACTGTTGAACTTTTAAATAACTTGCCTTTGCACCCACTGATTATGGTACTAGAAATAAGACACGTGCTTGAAGCTACTAAAAATTTAATACGCTAAAAGCTTTTCAGATTTGTGCTTACGCCTTTTTGAGAATCATAATACGATTAAGATACAAAACACTTAATGAGTGAATCATAAGAAAAAAAAACTTCAGAGAATGACAAATTAGAGTGCGTAGTTGTCTGTGTATGATAGCTGTACCTACATATGGGCGCATCCTTTTGTATTACATATTGAGTACTAGTTTTTGCTGCGACAGACCCTCCGCGCGACGCCATCTGCTTAGTAACATCGGGACTCCTGACAATCACTGATACCAACTCCTGCTTAATTGCTGCAAGTAACATTATGTACTTCAACTGTTATCGACTTTTATAGCGATCACTGTGATTTATATGGCACCACTGTCATTATAGAAATGTTAGAAATTTTATTAGTAATGCCATTATAATAATTTGGGTACAGTAAGCACATTTAAATTATTTAATAAAATAGCCATAAGTAAGTTTAAGTTGTAGAAGACTTTGGCATAAAACCTTGATGATAATTGAGACCTCGCTGAAAGGAGGTAAAACCTCTAAGGTTCTTTATCTAAAAATGTCAAAAATTATAAAAATATAAGGTTAATAACCACATGCATACAGGTAGAACAACTCTACCTTCGTTCAAAAATAGTTACCAAACATTACAGCATTAAAAGTTTAATTATGAAAAAAACTAATAGACGGCACGTCAATGACAAAAAGTTTTATAGTCGCGAGCGCAATGATTTACTGCCAGATTTCACAGTCTCCCGTCTGCCATACATGTGTATACGTTAAAGAGTTTTAAGTACCGTAAGTATTAGTTACTATACGTACCTATTTTATCTACAAGTGCTTCGGTTTTAGGCACAGTGGGCACGTGTTTATTATAACCAATTATATCCGCGTTACTCAATCTTGCTTAAGTACGTACTTCTTACTACTTTTGCCTTTGTTTAAAATGCCTGTCGGTTTTGTTTCAAAGTTAGTGTTGATAAGTACATACGATAAGAAAATACTTTAAGATGTAGGTATTGGAGATTTCGGGGACCAATCTAAAAAAGCTTTGATAGTACCGTTCTTTAAGTAGATATTTCTATGTAGGTACTTAGACACATTTTAGAAAGTGGTAGTGGTTGGATGGCTAAGGACTGAAAAATTAGATAAGAACTTTGTAGTTTGCCATTGGGGAGGCCTATATCAAACTGCGGAGAGAAACAATCTGATGATGACGATGGTGAATTATGTGTCGTAGCCAAATAGTTGAATTAGCCATCCAACCAACGACCTGAATATATAACTAGTAATTTGATGAATAGCTAAATTCCTTATTCAGCCTGCTAGTTGAAGAGTGAAGGGATTGTCATAAAAACTGAGTTGCTACCATAATGATAGGTAAGGTTAGGTTAGAACTGTGAAATGCACAGAAATTGAATCTCCGTCGCAAACAAACATCTACTTTCGTACTTAACTTATACTGCGATCAAAGATATTTCTTTTCTTTAAAAATCATCTCCTGTGTCGTAGGCGCGCATAAAAACATACATTTTCACATAAACATCACACCCAGACTCGAAACAAACATTTGTGGATTACACAAAAATTGATCCGCGGGCACCGAATTCAGCCAGTTGCCCAGCCACCGCGCCAACCGTGCAGTCAAATCAATAAATCTTAAGCTACAAAACCTTAGCTTCAAGCCATCAACATTCATAAACATCGTGTGGTGCTTTGTGGGCAAAACGAAACTAAAATATTTTTAAAACAATTGACCTATTTAAAGAAGGCTACTACTAGGTACTTTACACGTGTCGTTTTGTCCAAGTAACAACAATATTTGCCTAGGCATGTTGAATAATTGTTTTATGAACTATTGTTTAGAATGGCCTTCTACTGTGAGCTTCGGTTGAGTACGGACGTGTGTCGCGTTTGACCTTATCCTTTTTTCTGATTGGTCACTGAGTGTAATTTTAAATTCCTTGTCTAACATCAAGTGTTTTAATAGACAAACCACGCCTACTGGGAGTGTCAAGAGTGAGATAGATAAATTCTAAAGTGCTCCAACTCAAATTCCAAATTAAAAACTTGTCGTGTTTTGGCAAGATTCGAACCACCAACCAACTGCGCGGCAGCGGAGGGGAACGCGTTAACCATCGAGCCACCAAAGCAATCGACGCGGTTATCGAAATAACTCATCGGCTATCGACTGCGAGCTACGGCTACGACAGCTACGACGTCACAAACTGTGCTACACGCTACAACACCTCGTAGCGGACGAACGCAGTGCTACGAGTTCGAGTGATTGTTTGTTATTGTTGGGTTCGTATTACGTACTTACATAAATTATCGCGGCGCTTGGAATATGTACGGCCTACAGCGCTCTCCATCACCAACATCGCTGACTCAAAGGGAACAAACTCGGTCAGTCCCTGATATCCCACTGGCGTCTAATGACCCGGAATTTGTCAATAAAAACATTCGTCATAAGAGACCCCGACCTAACGACTCGCCGCGCAGCCAGGACTTGTTTGATGAATTTAAGTCGGAAATTAGGGAGATGTTGTTGACTTGGAAGGTTGACCTAGAGGCAAACGTCACAAGACAAATAGCTGAACAAACCGGGTTAATGACAAAACTGGTCTCCGATATATCTGATCTAAAACTTCAGAACATACAAATACAAAATACCAATATCCAAATCCAAAATGAAAACACCGAAATAAAGAAATCCATCACTTTCTTAAGCGAGCAGTACGAAGACCTACAAAAGGAGATCAAGCATCTGCAGGAAGAAAATAGGGAACAGAGACGGTATACGGAGTCACTCGAATCGTCTATTAGAGACCTCCAATACAAATCCCGGTCGTCAAGTATTGAAGTGCGGAACATGCCTGCACAAGATAACGAGTCGACGGCAGATCTGATTAAAGTAATTACAAACATAGGAAACATAGTGAACTTCCCACTGACCGCTTCTCATTTTCGAGACATATATCGGATACCGGGGAATCGAGGCAGCAACAAAGCTATTGTAGCGGAATTTAGTAGTGTCCAGACAAAATATGAATTAATTTCACGTGTTCGAACATATAATAATAAAAATAAAAATAAAGAGGATAAACTTAACACAGAAAAACTCGGAATAGTGGGACAGAAACAAGCAGTTTATGTGGAAGAACATTTGTCAAACGCGAGCAAAAGGCTTTTTTATTTAGCCAGAGAGTTTGCGCGGCAGAGGAAGTACCAATTTTGCTGGACCTCAAACGGCAATATATTTCTTCGAAAGCAAATAGGAGACAAGCAAATTCTGATCAAATCGGAAACAACGCTCAAGGAACTCCAAGACTGACTATACAATCTATCAGTAAGCAGAATTTGTATTTTATTGGCCCAAGCCACCGAAGTTTTAAATTTAACTCTTTTCGATTTTACCTTCAGATCTCATGTTAGCTTAAAATTTTCTAAAACCATATTATGTACAATTAAAAACATTATAAACTTTTGTAAAAAAACACACAAAATACATCACAACAATACATACTACAACACAATTACACCTTACTCACCGCTTTACACTCTATTACCATACATCATACACGTTTCGCTATATCTCACCGTACTTATTCACTTTATCAATCCAAAGATGCATGCTTACCACATTAAGACGTATTCATTATCAGCCAGTGGTGGTCGACTGCTAGACATAAGCCTTTACGGTCTTACGCCATTGGGCTCAATACTCGTTTTAACGTATCGTGTTATAGTACTTACCCTTAAATCATTCCTAACAAATGGCTAACCATATACAATCTTCTATTATTGTTGATTTAGATGAATTTGAAATTGCGCAATCATACAAG